TAGCTTATTAATAAGCTACTATAGTTTTAACTTTCATATACTTGAATAGACCTAGTATTTAATTCATTAGTCATTTACCTACTTCTTTATTATGATAGTTCCGGCAATGAAAATTTAAACTTGAATTCCCTAGAGCCACTTATTAATAATAAACAATTATCTAATAGTATTATTAATATATCTGAACCCTTTTATCAATTCCAATACCAGTATCTGGTATGCGGTTTGAATCATAAACAGAAATTGATAGATATATTGATATTTATTGTAATTCCAAAAACTTTTCTAATGTTATTTATAGTGCAGAATATAATAATAGAGTAAGAAGATGTTGTTGTTATAAATGTGAATATCAGGTAATTATCACAGAAAAAAAAAAATAATAATTGTTGAAAACCAGCATAATACACGTTCCAAACATAGTGGATGTCCACGGTTCATAAATGCTACATGTCCAAAAACAACCAGCATTATTAGTATCACTACCTTAAGTTTAGAACATGGAGACCATCCTTTAGATCCTCTTACTAGTAAATTTGGTCTTACTCATCGAACATTAACTGAGCCAATGTTGGCTAATATATAGTTTTGGACAACAAAAGGGAATTTTAATATGCTTACTCAATAGCAATTACTTGAAGCTAAATATGAAAATGTTTTTTTTTTATCCCAAGACCTGTCAAATGCTATTCAAAAGGTTAAAACCGAACAAAAGATTGATCATAAAGCTGCAATACTGGTTAATCACCTTATTGAATATAAAGCTGAAGATATTAGATAGACTATAAATTGGCGTGTAGACCCAGCAACAAACACTTTAGTATTAATATTTTGGATGACCCCAGAACAATATGAACTTTACTTACAATATAGTAATATTGTACAATATAATAATACTTACTCTACTAATAAATTTAAAATGGCGCTTGGGCTTTTTGTTATAGTTGATAATCATAATAGATCTAGGTTATTTGGGCAAACGTTAATGACTGATGAAACTTTAGAGAGTTTTGAATGGATATTTAATTCACTTAATAAAGGAACAAATGTCATCTCTTCGGTTATTATAACAGACAATGACCTTGCTATTTATGCTGCAATTGCAAACATAATACCTGATACTTACCATATACATTGAATATACCATATTGGACAAAATTTATTAAAGAATTTAAAGTTTAAGTTGGGTTTAGAATATAATAATTTTATTAAAGCTTGGTATAAAATAAGGAATACAGTATTTCAAACTGAATTTGACCATCTTTGGGACTCTTTACTTCAATAATACCCTGCCTTAGAATCATATCTTAATAGAGCGCTTGGTTCTCAAAAATATAAATGGGCTTTTCTTATATTTTATGTATTTTTACAGGAGGGATTCAAAATACACAAAGAGTAGAAGGGCAAAATGTGATAATTAAAGTGCTATTAATAGTCACACATCTCTCTTAGATCTTTTTAAAAAATTGAAATACAACTCAATCGTGTATCTACTACAATACAATATAAAAATTGGGTTCATTCCATAACTGGTTCAACACTTATACATTCAAGTCTTGACTTTTCACCTATAATTGATAAATAGATTGTTGACTATTTAACTCCCACTGCCCTTTCTATACAAAGACAAGAAATAGCACAAGCCATCTAGTATGTTACTTTACTTATTGCCCTTTATATAGGCTGCAATCAATAAAAATCAAGCAGATTTATAAAATAAATCTGTTTAATTTTAATTGACTGCAGTCCATATAGTTATTATCAGTGTTGGATTATAATTTGCTATAACCTGTTAAGTAATTATTGGTTATGATTTTACAACCTGTTATAAAAAAATATATTAGGTACACTCCTCAACAAGTTGATAAGAATTGCACTTTGGAGATTGAGAATAAAGATGAGTTACTTAATACTGGTTTAATTGAAGATACTATTGACATTCTATTAATAGTCTTAAAAGAGCTTATTCCAACCAATAGATATAATAACATTGTTAAGATCTGGGAACTTGTTCACCATAGATATACAAAAAAAAATTATATTGTTCTTTTTGATAATAAATCTCATCTTTGTACATGCCTGGGTCTTGTCTGATGTGGTATTGTTTGTCGTCACTTTTTTGCCTATTAGGAAATTCAATGTATGCAAAATTTCATGTAATGTTAATATCTAAATGATGGTATAATGATGAAAAACAATGTGAACCTACCTCAATCCTTTGTCAACAACCTTTTACTGATGGCTTTCAGGAACCTTCTGTTAATACCTTACAAACTGAAACCTTTCTAGAAATGCCTTATAAAATGGTTAATATTCCTTATAAACATGTTTATAATTCCTTAAATTAATGAAAAGAATATGCAACAGCTAATGGACTTTTGAAAAAAGCAATTCAATTGGGGTTGGATGTAGGATCATCAGCAATACAAGAGTTAAATGATTTTATGAAAACTTTATAACAAAACATACACCAAATCAGAAATCACCCCAAAGAAACCCTAGAACTTTGTTAGCTAAATCTTACAAATACTGGGCAGCTCTGATGAATCTGATGGCTTTGATAGTTTTGATGATAACGATGAATTAGATTCTCAAGATATTGAGAATATAAATCTATCTTTAATTCAGAATCCTATCATTTATACAAAAAAAGGTGCTCTATGCAAAACAAGATTTAAGGAATCATATGAGGTAAAACAGAAAAATGCAGAACGTCAGAAAACTAAAAGGTGAAAACCTACAGAATGTCAGCAGTGTCATAAAGTTGGACATAATAAAGCCGGATGTGAAAATGGCATCAAAAAAATCAAATTTCATATTTTTTTAGGTATAGGATATTGTGTTATTGAGATATGTATATGCGCATAAATTGATATTTATTGCTTTTAATGTCTACTAATTACTTTAAATTGTTATATATTTGCGAATAAGTACTTATCTGAAGTTATATGAAGTTTTTGCCTTGAAAATAACCTTATAGAACATAGTATTTACTATATTCTATAAGGTTATTTTCAAGGCAAAAACTTCATATGTTATTATCAGTAAGATTGTAGTTAATATTAATTAAAGTTGGTGGATTAGAATTAGTAAGTTGGTAGTTAAAGTTACTCTAAATAGTTTATATTAGAATTAGAAAGTTGGTGGTTAGAATATTAGATTTAGAAATTTGTTGTTAGCAAGTTATAATTAGCAAGTTATTAAGTAGATTAGTGGGTAATTGTATTAGATTAGCAATATTGTAGTTAGCGGGTTATAATTAGCGGGTTATAATTAGCAAGTTATTAAGTAGCTAGTTTAGTGATTGATTATTAGATTAGAGTTAGGGTATATTGTAGTTAGATGGTTAGAGTTAGAAAGTATTATTAGTTTGTTAGTTAGTGGGTTGTTAGTTAGCGGGTTAGGATAAGATTTATAGTTAGAAAGTATATATTAGTTAGTAGTTAGCAGGTTAGAGTAAGATTTAAAGTTAGAAAGTATATATTAGTTAGTTAGTAGTTAGCGGGTTAGAGTTTAGAGTTAGAAAGTATATATTCGTTAGTTAGTTAGTTAGGGTTAGGGTTTCGAGTTAGAAAGTATTTGTTAGTAGTAGTTAGTTGGCGGATTTAGGGTTAGGGTTTCGAGTTAGAAAGTATTTGTTAGTAGTAGTTAGTTGGTGGATTTAGGGTTAGGGTTAGAAAGTATTAGATAGTAAATTGTAAGTAATATAGTATTAACAACAAGCGATTGAAACTTGTTTGCTATTGGGGTGTGACAAATTATATATGTGACGAATATATACTATTTATATAAGTTAATTAGTTAATAATTCGTTGTCACGTCTATAATTGGTCACACCCCAGTAGCAATTATCTATAATAACTTATAATATATATTATTTATATAATTATATAGTATAATTATATAATATATATATATATATTATATAGTATAGGCTACATATAGCCACGGCTATATGTAAATTTTCCTTAATAAAAAATATATAATTTTTTATTAAAAATTTTTAATAAAATATTATCTTTTAAATATATATAATTTGAAATATATTTATATATTTATTTATAATAAATTATTTTTTTACTTTTATTTTTATTTTTAATAGTCAAGATTAGCCACTTTGGCTTATTACTTTTATTAGATATACAAAATTATTAGTATTTTAAAAGTTTTAGTTATAGTATATATATATAGGATATGATCAACAAAAACATAGCTTATAGCTTTTTTTAATTTGAGAAAATTTAGTATAACAATAATAATAATAATTTATTATTAGTATAAATTTGTTGAATTATTACAAATTAGCCAATTAAACAAATAAATTATTATAACTCTATAGCAAAGATTGATAATTAAATTTAGATTATATCTAATTATATATAGTATTTAAATAAAATAAGCATTAACAAAAATTTTATTATACAAATTGATACTTTAAATATTAAATTAAATAGTAGAATATCTGCTTTATGTGATAGTATAGTTAACTAATTGTCTGAAGTGTAGTGAGAACTTAATTGTTTATACAAAGTTTGATGCAGGTTTATGCAATGTTTGTTCGATACAACCAATAAAAATCAAGAATTGAGAGTTTCTATGATAATCTGCAGTTAGTATATATTAAACTATGATTTGCAGTCAGTGTAACAAATATTATCATAATTATAAGTTCTTATATATAAATAATATATAGTAATTTAATTTAGCATTGATTTTTTTTCGCTTCGGACCTTACATCAGATTCTAATTCTTAGTTTTTTTAAAAAATGTATAAGATATGTTTTTGTTGACTACTTTTTATATATATAACTTTAATTATTATTTATTTAAGAACTTTGCTATATTATTATAGTAATTTTTTATATACTATGTCTAAGATTTACTTGTAGATCTTTATTTAAATTTTTTAATTTAAGTATTCTATACTAATCAAATCTAATTTTACTTAGAATATAAGTATAGGTTCATCTATAGTATAACGTGTACTAATACACTCGATGATCACATCAAATATCACATTATAAATAAGGTTATAGA